TCCTCGTGTGCTTGAAAATATGTTGCAAATGGTAAAGTATATAGTTTGTAGGTCGCGTTGTATAAATACGTATATATAGTGCTGATACTGGAGTGTTTATACTCAAACATCTTACCAATTTGGAAATTGACATTATAAGTTCACAACATATTTCGGTGTGGGTACATGTCAAATTTTCACTGTCAGTTTTCTAGTTGTACTGTTTCTCAAGGATTATTTGATATTTGAGGTAAGATACATTATCTTCATCGTATAGTCTTGAAACGTACTCAAACTTATTGAAGGTACTTTACTACGGTAATACTGTAATCCAAAAATGAAATGCAGTGATTTATTGCTGGATATTTATTTTTTTACGGTATATTCAATATTATTGCATGCACAAATCCATGACCCGTCGTAAGATACTATATCAATGCCGGACAAGCTATTGAAAATACAAGAGCTGCTCTTCTGAAAACTCATAAATATCAATTAAATTACATAACAAAGAAAGGTCCTATGAAGTTCGGAGTCTGGCCTAATCCGGCTAAAACCCGGCATCGGCAAGCTGTTTTGCGAGATCGAACTCAGGATGATCCCGAACTGAATTTATTGCAACCTTCTTGTCTTCGCGAGGTGGTAGCAACTGCTTTGGTAAGTAATTTAGCATGGTATTTTCAACAACCTAAAAATCTTCAAATTAAAGTGGGGCGATTCTATCCTTCTTTAAAATACTGTTTATCGTTGTTAAATGTCTTTTACTTTTGTGCAAAATAAGGCCAGATTCTCTTGTGGTGCAATTAATTGACATGCTTCCGCAATTTATTTTGATGATTTTCTTCCAATCTTTGTTGGGATATCTCTCATATATGTTTGATTGCTCACTTCTTACTCCGATTCTTCGTATCTCATTTGACGGTCTCATTGAAGTTACTTTAGAGCTATATTGAAATAAGTCAATTTCAGTCACACATCTCTCCAATTCCATTTTCCATATTTGAATTTCTTAAACGACCATATAAACACAAGAAGTTTACAGTTTCAATATTTCACATAAAAGTGTTCAAATATCTATAAGTTAGATAGAGTATACTAACAGCTATGCGCAATTTATAACATTTGTTTATGCATTTTCCAAAGACGGTGACAAGCACTACTTTGAAATAATAATTTGGTATAACATCTGCCTACAAACTCGCATTGGCCGACACTACATCTTATACAATGTGGATTATGCCAAAAAATAAAAAGGAGGCCGTAGTATATGGGCAAACAAAAACAATATAGAGCTGTTTAATGATGTTCTCACGACTAGGTCATTTTTCCTGACTGAAACAAGATCAAAAAAAAACTTTCTGCCCGGGCCTTCATTGACGTAAATTCGGACGATAATGTAAGATAGTCTATTGTGTTACTCGAGTATGGAGATGAAAAGAAGGAGAAAAAATCCTTTACACTTTAATTTCTTTCTCTAATAGTTGCATAGTAGATGTATTTTCTAGGCAAAAATGCAGTACTTACCCTTGTGTAATGCCCTGCATTGCAAAGTGAAGTGGTGCACACGCAAAGAAGCGATGGAGCCTGAAAGCAGAAATTCAGATAAAGAAGTATTAGCATAGGCTGTTGCAAAAGTTTTGAATTTAACTGCTTTTTTCTCTTCATATTTTTGAAATGATTATCCAATAATATCTAGCCAGCTACACTGGCGACGTTGTCATCAATTAAGCACATCATGATATTTTTTTGGAAACTTTTTAGAAGCAACGTTTTGAAAACTTTGAGTTCTGCAGTTTTGCAAACGTCCTGGCGAGCGTCATACTTTGCTGGTGTCAAGCACTTATGAAATCAAATAGTAAAAAGGAATGTGCATAGCTGTACCGCGATGACATGTAATAGGTAGCAGAGGTATTTAAAGAAATATTGATGTTGAAACCATTGGTGGCACATAACTGTTATCATTCAGGGTCATCGTAATGGAGCTTTTTTGAAGAGATACATCGTATTTTTGATGCTACCGATACTAGATTGGCGTTCTGCTCATAGAATACTAGTATACTAGTAGAGACAGCCCAGCAGCCACTTACAAGTTTTGCAATATTTCTTACAAAACAAAATTATGAGCATTTAAGTTCCCGAAAAGAATTTCTGCAACAATCTCACCACTAAAGGCGGTGGAGCCGGTGGAGCATCGTAGGACCACTCCGGTCGAAGTGTTGTTGTCGCCTTAAAGGTTTCGGTTGCAACAGTAGAAAAAAAAAAGAAATAAAGATCTCTTACGATGTTCGTATTTTGGCAAAAGCTTGCTCCTGGGAAAAGCAGTAGATAATGGTAAAGTGTTGATC